AGTTAAGCTTAATTGGTAGAGTTAAATACCAAAATTAAAAAATTACTTGTAAATAGCTAATATTCATTGGCAAAAATAAACCCTCTTCACATAAGATAAATTACCCTTTAATAATCACACCCCAGATTATTTTAAAAACCATGACGTAGTATCACAAATAAATTTGAAAAGAGAATAATTAAATGTTACTAACTTAAAAATAAGTTACTTGAATTTGAAATAGTGAAATGAGAATTAATTGTATATTAAGGATCTGTGAATTAATTAAACATGGATTGTTCCACTTGGAAAATACCCCTAATTAAAAATCGCTATATGAGATTTCATTTCTCACTTAAAATCATTAAAAAAATGATTTCCACAAAAAGACAACCGACGGTTGCCAGAAATTTAAATTTACTAAATTTGCATTTAACTAAATCCCAAACGGATTGCAAAAAAAAATTATCCACTGATAAAGGGGATCTCGACAACCTAAATTTCATACCCTGTAGGTTATATAAAAAATTTCGCCCAAAAATAATAAAATAATGAAAACACTTATAAGGAAATAGGATAGTAAAGATAGAAATAGAGTAGGGTACCTTTTTTTATTAATTAACCAGCTTTAAGTTTTGTAGCTTCCTTTATTAGGAACTATGTTTAAATGAATTAATAAAAAAGTATTAAGAAAGTGAAAAGAAAAGACGAGAGGAGAAAAATAGAAAACAGCTTTGTAAATAAGCAGTCTGACAGTCACTTTATCTCCGCTGCATTATCAGTGAATGAAGTTTAATATTTCAAGGTGATAAGTAAAGTGGCAAATCTTCAATCTTCTCAAAAAGCAAATTGTTAACTAAATACCGCACTGAGAATACCAGGATTGGCAAAAAAATATTATAACCCAGTAATCAGCACTCCAATAATGTGTTAAACGATAGAAAACAATGAACAAATTAAAATAAGTTAGAAATTAAATCACTGCAAATAATCTATCAACAAATTTACAAATCAATGAATCCACGTTCACTGGAAAAACAATATTTAATTACGAGACGATAAAAGTTACAATCCATTGCAGATGTTAAAACATAAAATGAACCACCAAAAATTACGAGGCAATATAGGTCAAATTTCGTTGTCTGAGTTAAGACGTAAAATGGCCTTTTCTCAAAAATTGCCTTGAATAACTTAAATTACAGAAATCCACCTCTAACGAACGATATAAACCTAAATTAGTGGAATATACATCAGCTAATCACTAAATCCCTGCAACAAATACCCTTAGGGTGAGATTACAGAACGTCTGCAACTTTGCATCTGCAACTTTGCAAATATGTCGGACTTACAAATGTAAGTATTCCAAAAAATATCTGCAAATTCGCAATATTTACTGTGGTTTATTACCCCCAACAACACTAAACCCAAATTTGGAATACGAAAACTTGATACTTGCATGTGTAAGTCAGTCATATTTGCAGATTTTCAAAGTTGCCGCCATATTTGCAGATCTGCAAAGTTGTAGACGTTCTGTAATCTCACCCCTAATCGATAAGCAACGCTCTAATGCAGCGTTTAGCCAACAATTCACCTTAAGAACAATAAAAAACCGCTTTTACATTACCTGTCGCTAAATATTAAACCATCACTTCGATAACCTCACTTTGATTAAAATAAAACTTTTCAGAGATAAGAGAAGAAAGACAGAGGTGGCATGAAGTTACCAAACAAAAGATCTTGGTTTTCTCGTCTACCAATCTTTTTATCACCTTTGTCTCTCTACCTCTGGCGTTGTGCAACGTTACTATACAAGGTGCACTCAAAAATTTCCTTTTCTGTTTGAATAATAAATATAAATATACGAAAAAATAAAATCCTATCTAGTATCAAAATGGTCGTTACTACTTTTATCGAAATTATCAAAAAAAAAAAAAATTAAGATGGTTTCCCCCAAAATATTGTAAATTTAACATACCTAGTGACAGAACAGGCGCATCCGAATTCTGCTACAAATTAAAATTTTACCTGAATTTTAACAACTTAGGGATTAGTGAATAGTCCGAACTCTGCCATGACCATTAAGGGGCATTAAGCTTTATCCGTATTAGGGATTAAGGATTTAAATATGTTTTCATGCCTAAAGACCTTTCAGAAGAGGTACAAAAATTAAATAAGTAATTAATAATATATATTCTCAAAAACAATATTAATGGAATTCTTGGAATATTTTGACGACTGCTCGGTTTTAATATTTAGGGAAATATTTAGAAGGGGAAATAGGTTACTTGTTTCTTAATAAAGGTTTTATGAAACAGTTTATTATCTACCTTAGTTGAGTTAAAATGAATAACAGTGCGTCTACCATGTTTAGTGAAAGAGGAAATAAATTAATTGTGTTAAATAATTTTAAATTTTTCAAAGCTAATACTAGCAAATGTGGAAAGATTCGATGGAAATGCTGTAACGCTAAATGTACAGCTAGGAGTGTACTCCCACGTTTCCAAGGAAGAAGTAATAATAGAGATCAAAGCAGAACACAATCATGGTGTTACAATAAATCTTGCAAGAAATGCAGTGAGCAATAGTGTTAAAAGAAAAGCAACTTGTGATCCAGCTGAGAAACCAGCAAAATTAATAATTGTTGAAATCAAATAATTTTGCAGAGAGCATAAACTCAGTAGATATCAATCAAATGAGAAAAAATATGCATGCAGCAAGAAGAAAAATATTACCTATAAACCAAGAAGAGGTGTTCAATACTGTTCTCGAGTTACATCTGAATACAAATCGCGGGGAAGAATTTCTAATGGTGGCAGATAAGGTAAAAAAAATAAATGTGTTTTCCTGTTTTTTAAATTTAACATTTTTGTATCAGTCAGAGTGTATTTTGATAGACGGAACATTCAAATTTTGTACAAATTTCTTTTACCAAATGTTTACGATTCGTAGTTTAAAAACGGTTATTATGTACCGGTTGTTTTTTGTTTATTACCTGATAAATCAAGTGAAACATATTACAATGTATTTCTCCTTTTAAGTAATAAGTGTAAAGCTTTTGGTTTAAGTTTTAAACCAATAGAAATTGTGGTAGATTTTGAATTAAGCATTCACAACGCAATATATAAATATTTCGGAAGAGATCTTATTCTGTTGGGTTGCAAATTTCATCTCTGCCAAGCATGCTTTCGGAAAATTCAAGAATATAATTTAGTTCCGGAATATAAAGAGGAAAACTCTGTGATTGGTAGATATATAAAACTTTTTGGTATGATGTACCTCAGTTCTGAGGAAGTTGTAAATTTTTTTAATAAAGAATTGCACCATTTTCTACCAAATGATAAAAGAGTAATTAAATTCCGAAATTATTTAAAACAAACATATGTCTACAATTTTTCAATATTCCAATCAAATATTTGGGCAAATAGTGCAGATTTTTTAAGAGGACTACTAACGCATGTGAAAGTTTTCATTCGCATTTTAATAGCTCCTTTTATAAAGCACACCCCAATATAATGCATTTTACACGTGTATTGTTACATTTCTAAGTAGAGACTTATTCAAAAATGCGGTCAGCTAACAATAATCAGAAAAAAATCTAAAAAAAAATGTCCAAACGAAAGTCAACACAACACAAGAAAATACTAAAAAAAAAAAAATCTATTTCGCGGTTTATGTTTGTTAAAATAATGTCATCAAAAAATCTTCCCAATGTTTAATTTCATTTTACCTGTAAAGCTTTTATTAAATTTGTAATTTCCAATTAACTGTGTATTGCAATTTTGTATTCTTGTGGTTTTTTACACTAATTGTATACTGTTTTTTTTTTTTAATAAATTCGAATATTTTCATAATAAGTTGTTTTTTCATATTATTTTATATTTTGATTCATGTATGTAAGTACTACAAATAGTAAACAATATCAGCAATGTCTTAGATACCTACATTGATAATATCTTAATCGGATCGTAGAGACCCTCTAATGATTTAGGAACCTATAACACTGTAATCCGTGGACGAGTTCGGCTATCAATTTTTCTTTACCTGAAGTTTGTGGCAGAATTCGGAAACCCCGGACAGAACTTTAAAGAAGAAATAATATCGAATCCTTATACCTAGCTGTTATACACAAAATAAGATCAGTGATTAAAAATAATTATTTTTATGTATGTGTAGATGAAACCACGGATTTTGCAGGTCAACACATAGCTCGTTTGATGATTGGAGCGCCTCTTAAATCTCACTTAATATGATCGAAACAAATAAAGAAAACGAGTTCATTGACAATAACACATGTCCTTTAAGAAGAGTTGTCAGCATTTTGCTTACCTGATGCTGTACCACACGAGAAGCTTTTAATTATCTTATGCCTATATAATTAAGGCAGGCAAAAATTTATTTATGTTTAGCCCATATGGTATCAATAAGGTTGCGGAAGAAATAAGAAAAAGTTTTCTCTAGTCGACGATTTGATATCCAATATGAAAAAAGTATTTCTTAAAGTACCATTAAGAATACAATTGTATAAAGATTACTTAATACTTCACTGGGTGTGTTACCACTACCCCTCTAGACTTAAACTTTATTACCACTACCCCTCCCAGACTTAATCTCTGGATACGCCATTGATTCACTTTGTCTTGTAAAAACGTTATGGACAATATTGGAACCGAAATATATGAAAAGTTACAACGATTGAAAAAAATATTGGTTTTAAGACACTGTAGGAGTCACAAGTGTTTTAAGGGTAAATTTTCCCCAAAATGTTAACATGGAGAGTCAGATATTTTACTTCATTTCAGAAATGCACCTATTAGGTCGGTGGATGTGGAAAGAAACTTTTCAATTTATAAATAGGTACATGTATTCAGATAGAAAACATAAATTTTAATATGTAACTAGTTTCAATATATTTATCTAATTAATTTAGTTTATTGTATGAAAGTTTTAGTTATGTATCTAAAATATGTACCTAATAATTTGGAATTCACGTTTTTTTTTTTAATTACTACATATTTTTGTAGATTTTGAAGATAGTATTAATTCCTCAATGAAAAAGGAAGAAATATTTAAAACGGAGATACGAGAATCTCAAAATGCTTTAATAAACATTAGTAAAGAAAATGAGCAGCTTACCTCGGTAAAATACTTTTTTTACTTCACTTTTTCTTCCAAATATGATAGCATATAGATTTATCATTCTAATTTTTTTTATGTAATACCAAGTAGTTAATTTCCTTTAGAATAATAAAAACAACTTTTGAATCTCTTATTTATTACCATTTTCCACAGGAACTGTCCAGCATTAAAGAAGAATTTGAAGGAGTTAGTAGAGAATTTAGCAATTTAAAAGAACAAGAACAGAAATGGGTTAATTTAATACAATCTTTTGAAAATAAGAAGGAGTAAGAATATCACATTTTTAAAACAGACGTATTTAATAATTAATTATCTTCGTAGGGTCTTCAAAAATATCGTAAATCAAAAAGAGAAATTGGAATACGAAAATGCCTCTTTAAGGGAAGAATATAAAATCGTAAAAGAAGATTTACGAATAGCAAGACAAGAGTGTGAATCGTTATTTAGACAAATGAAAACGGTTGTAGAGCAAAAACAAGCAGAAATATTAAATCATAAAAGGGAAACTGACGATATAATAAGGTATCAAAGAAACAAATTATAAATCATATAGTAAACATACATGTTTTTTAGAATGAATCAAGAAATGCAAATTTCAAGAGATCAAGAAATAGAACGTCTTAAATCCAATGTAAATGACCTATACCAAAAACTGGAAAATGAACGATCATCGTACACTGCATTGTCCCAAATTCACAAAGAGATATCAGCAAAATTTATGAAAAGCATCAAAGATATTGTAGATGAAAAAAACGCCAGACACGAAGCTGAAAGGAAAGTCAAAGAAGCTGATGATTATCATGAAAAGCTACAAATTGAGAAGGTTTATTAAACATTTTATTTTTAGTTATTGTTATTTGAAACTCATTATTATTTAAGTGTGAATTGGAACAGAAAGTGAATGATGTCTTAAAAAAGCTGGATGAAAAGAAAAACGTTATTAATATGTTAAAAGAAGAAAAAGGAACCTGTGAAATGGTTGTTTGCGATTTTCAGAAAAAATATAATGATATTTTGCAGCAATGTACGATCTTAGAGGATAAGGTTGGACATTATGGAATCATTTATAAAATGACATTAAACTTCTATTTTATTTTTTTTTTCTTAGTTGAAGGAGATTCAGTCAAATGACTCGGTTTCTGAAGAACTTAAGGTAATTATTAAACTAAATTTATTTTGATTCTCTTAGATGTAAACTAAGCAATAAAGTACAATAGCAACCCCAACAATAAGGTGTTCAAGCGGAACCTGAAACATGAAACTATAACAATCGAAATAAAGTACCTGAGAAAAATAGCGAGGAAAACGAACAGAAGCAGATGTAGAAATTAAAATATTAGACAAGAAATAAACCAAATTCCAATAGTAATAAAGTTACAGAATAAACATCTAGAAATGACATATAATCTGAAACAACAATAGATTGCCAACAAAAATTATAGTGGCAAACAAACCAAAGAAGAAGAAAAAAGGTATCTAAACCATACGAAAGTTAATGGAACAACTATATAAATAGGTGGCAGCAAGGGAATAACACTTAGTTAAATGAAGATAATAACATTAGATCGGAAAAACTAGAAGAAATGGACAAAAGAAGATAAAAGGGATAGACGGGAAACTAGAAAAAAGATTGTAACTAATATTTTTAAATTTATGGGTTAAATATCAATATTTTTATTATTTATTAGATTGATTACTTATGGGTTTTAAAGAGCGTTGTAACCCATATTTTACCAAGGGGTGAAAAAATTCGTGTTTTATCTAATTAAACATTTATTTTAATTTTTAACTAATAAAATATTATTTTACAAAAAAAATTGTTTACTCAGGTTTGCAAAAAAAATACGTTGCGTTTTCGCATTATTGGTAAGATGTATATCAAAGAACACCTGGTGTTTACTAGGATCTTCTATAATCGACAATAATACAACTTTTCCACCCATACCAATTGGAGATTTTTTTTGTTTGGATTGGAACAGGCGTATGAAATAAACTTGTACAGGTATCCATCTTAAGAGGAGAAACGCCACAATTTAAACCCAAATCGTACAGGTTTACCCCTAATAAACATCTGGCAGGAATGACTTCCAAAATAGGGAACCATTTGCTAGTCGTTAGATAAAATGAGAAAAAAAACACCATACTGAAGATTTTTTGTTTATCACATTGAAATATGGAATGGAATTAGTAAACTTGTCATTTTTATCAAGCTGACTATTATCTGATAAGTGAACATTTCTTTTGATATTATAAAACTTGTTTCTACTCATAAAACTTTTAACGAGATCCATGCCTTTGTATTCATCAGCTGACCGATATAAATGTCTGGAAGTTTATGATATCCTGTAAACATCATTACTCTAATAAATTTTAGTAAATTGGCATGGGTTAAATCAAAATCGTGTTTATTGTTATCTTTCGCATATTTATTAGAAAATGTTATGATTAGGTTCACCACCTCGTCATTGAAAAACATAAAAAAAATGTGCAGGGTAGATTTTTCATGGGGTTGAGCTTTAATTCGTTCCTTATCTAAATATTCACCCGACACCGGCTGAGGAAAAAGTGGAATCGAACCTTTCGTCCATTAAAGATCTTTGCCCACACTATTATCAACCGATTTTGAGATTGCTTTTCTTTTCGGACAAGGATTCATCATCCGAGGAATCAAATTCTTCTAACTCATCAGTAGCTCTCTTTACTTGCAGTTCGAAGGTACCAGCAATGTTAGGGTAAGTGGAGAAGAGAGGGACTGCATTTTGAAAATCAAAATTTAACTTTTTATTGAGTAATGTTACAATAAAACAAAAATAGAGGTCCACAAAAACATTATTTGGCACATGCTTTGAGATAAACTAAACTATACATATTTCATAGTGTAGGAGAGCCTAGCGGTCTATTTTCCGCATAGAAGACACAAATTTATGAAGGATGTGCATCCTTCGTGCAACCAGCGGCTAAATATGAGGCACTTAATCCAATCTTCTTTTTTCTTGGTGATCCTGTAATATTCTTTGCATTCATCACATTTGTTTTCATAATCTAAATCATTTTCAGTCTCTTCTTCGTCATTTAAGACTACTTCTTCTTCCTCCTCCTCTGACTCGGTGTCAAAAGAAGGCACTCGTTTGCGCTTTTATTTCTTCTGCATTTTTCGTTGTTATTTTTATTGCCAAGCCTGGTTAATTTGTTTTCTATTCTCTATATTTTCCGCTGAATTTAGTACAGCCACAACTCTTTTGGCACGTTTTCTCACATTTAAAACAATTTTCGTTATAGGCGGTATACTTCCAACATTTTTCCAGGTGTTTCCTGTTCATCAGTGGAATCTTCTTTAAAGTTTGTTTTAGAAGTGCTTGCCTCTGCATAATCAATCTTAATCAATGGCGTTTTTAATTAGTTTTACTGATACATTCTGCGGAATACCTTCTGTAGTATTGGATACCGAATTATGTATGAAGGCATAATCTGGAAGCACGTAAGGGTTAAATGGAACTATTCTAGTTAAACGAAATGCTGATACTGCATTTTCAACGGTTGCTGCTTTATTCCATGATTCACGTAGTAATTTCCCAAAATGCAGCCTACTTAATTTACGAGAAACGTTAGATTTTACGAAACGGTTGCATGCATTGTAATTGTAATTTAAAGATTTAAAAAAGGCACGATACAATGATTGTAACTAGTGTGTAGTGTGCGCTGGCAAACATAGAAGAATAATATTATGTTGGTAAGCATATTCATGCATTTCCCAATTAGTTGTATGTGAAGTGTGTCCATCCAATACCAAAACAACCTTCCCGGGCATTTTTCTCGAAACGAAGTGGGTCTGTGTATCTGCTGCCAGTAGAAGAATATGTCAGAGTTAACGTAAGCAGATTATTCCGACATATAAATGGCCGAGCCTTGGGTTATTCTGTCCAAAAATTCGTCCTTCCTCTTCTTTCCTTTAAAAATAGAAAATGGAAGATTAATTACTCCTTTGGCGTTACAACATGCCAGCATACTAATTGTTTTGACTCTATCGTCAGAACAAATTAGAGGCATATATTTCGACCCTTTCTCAGCTAGAACATAACCAACCCTAGTATTAAGTTGAAGGCTAGTTTCGTCGGCATTATACACATTACCCGGTTTTTATGAAGCTCTTGTCAAGTAACTTATAGTAATTATCCACTAGGTCTCTAGATATGGTCACGGTTCGTGCAGCTGATACATTTTCGCCCTTCCAAATAACAATATCATGATTGTGTCGCACATAAGACTGCAACCATCTATACCCAGCTTTTTTAAAAATAAAAGTTATTGCAAAACTTCTGCACATGTTAAGTTAACCAGAATACTTACTAAAATCATTATTGAATTTATGTTGAATTTTCATTTTTTTCACCAGTTTGTATGCCATTATGCGTACTTCATCTCTAGTAGGGACAAAGCTATATTTGGTAACTTCTTTATATGAACAAAACATTTTTTTCTCTGCCTCTTCACCAAAGCATGAATCTGGTCCTAATCTATTTCTTTTTTAAATATTATTGGCCCTGATTCTTTTTAATAATGTGGTTTTAGGAATATTGAAGCGCCATGGTGCTTAGCCATTCGCCTCTGGAATGAGTCCATGGTTTTGTTTTATACACGTTAGGCATCTTACGCAAATTAAAAAAAAATACATGATGGACCATCTGTCCTCCACACATACGGTCTATCTGTCCTCCTCTGAGAGGAGAGACGAACCAGTATATTTTTACCGGGTAAAACATTACATTCACTCTCTTTTAAGTTATATACATGCTTTAGAAAAATTTTCTCCACTTAAAACTTTTAATGCTGCCAATTGTAACAAACGATAAAATTTCACGTGTTTCCTGTCCGAACCTATCTAAACGAATACACAACTGATTAATTTGCTCAAATAAAAATAGTGTTTACTGAGAAAGCGTCACATGTTCAATATTTTTGAACTTATGAACTGTGGTCCGTCTCTCCTACCGGTCAAACTGTCCTCCACTTACCTTATTTGTTTGATTATCTTGATTTATAGCCAGATTGTCGTAAAACTTTTATTTGTCAGTGAGCTCGTAGGGGTCAGGCGGAATATAAATCGCATCAAATTCCACTAAAAGTATCATTGACTTACTAAATAAAACAAACACGATTTTCAAATAAAACTTACCATTTTCGTTCTCCAACTCATTTTTCGCCTCTTGTAGAGCGCCATCTAGTTCTTTTTGCATTTTATAAACTAAACACAGATCTAAATAGTTTAGACAAACAAACATGTACTAATAAACTGCCACGTATACGTACACGCAGAGGAAATCACAGCTCGTGTCCCACCACTTCCCACTTCAACAGTGTATAGAAAATTTGGCGCCTAATAAATAATACCTTGTTTGAATAGCACATTTTACCAATAATGCGTATTCGCATCAGCCAAACTTTAATGTAAATTTTTTTAAAAACTGCTATATATTTTATACATTTATGCGTACGTGGTAATCTGCATTTCATTGTCTATCCAATTTGGAGCTAACCAGAACAAAAAAAAGTTGTTTTTATAAAAAAAAACAGGATTATTTATTCAAGTTTAAAATGTTCCAAATTCCTCATTTTTTTGTCCATAATAATATGTTTAATTAATGACTATAGTATTTTTTTCAACTCACCAGTAGTACTATTACTAATAATGTACCTATTTTGCAAAACCCTAATTTTAATAGTATTGAAAAAAAAAATCGTTAAATGACTGTTGCGTTTTCGCATCAGTGGTAAAAAATAAGTTAGACAGTTAGATAATTAATAAAAGAGACTTAGATAATTATATACTTTTAGTTCTTTCAAAAAGAAAATGCTAGAATGAAGAAAGATTCTGAAGAAACTCATCAAATTATAATGACTCTTCAAAAAGAGATTGGACTACTTCAAAAAGAGGTTACAAGTTTAGAATTTCAAAAGTAAGTGAAAATGTAATTTGTATTTGAAGTTTAATTTGGTACGGATTTTTATTACGTCAATTATAAAACTCATAAAATTACTTTCATCTGTAATGTTACGTAGAAAAATTACTAAACA